CCATAGTCTACACTGTATTTATAAATGTTAATACACATTCAAGTTAGTAACACACTTCATTCAAATTTTATTTAACATTTTCTATCACACTGAGATGGATACAGTTGTCCTGCTGCTCAGGCAGACACTACTAGAGTTTCTGGACTCTGCACTTTTGGCAAGTGTGTCGGGGTGTGCCTACATGCTCTTAATTACAATATCAGGCTTACCTTGTTAAAACTTCAATTGTTACAATATAATTGAGATACAGTGACACGAATTTCCACCAAGTCACAGCAGCCTCATATATTCCAAATCTTATCATGGAGTCATAAAGCATATGATTCTAATGAGACAAAGAAACTCACACCTCTTACAGTTCAAATACTCTATCAGACCAAAGACACAGATGCAAAATCAAGGATGTCAGACTAGGATGGGCAGCTCCCTGCTTCCTATGGAGCTTCTTATTAACACAGGTTTCTAAGGACATCACAGATTTCTAAAAGTACTCATTAAGAACAGGGCAAAAGACTCCAGTATCTGAATTGTTTGGGGGTTGGGGTCTTTTTCCTATTTGTGTAAAGCACTCTAATAAAGTGATATGAGCTATACTCATATAGCTCTTCATAACTGGAGAGGCTGATCACTTGATCTAAGCATTAAAGCACATGAAAACTCAGATGTGTAGTTATTAAAAGAAGATTTCATCTATGTTAAGGGGTTTTGAATCACTAATGACTTATTTACCCATTTTGGACAGTAGATGAGAGTAGGAAGTGGAAAGATTTTGACAAAATAAAGTAGTACAACAATTTCTCTATTTACTTTGAATGTTTAACTTTCATTTAACTGTATTTTATTCTTGTTTTCCCATGGTAATACTTACAACAGTACTGTAACACCAAAATAATGACTTTCATTTTTTGTTGTTTTGGTGTGACACCTGTAAATGGGAATGAATATTATGTGCCAGTACCACGCACAGGTAGAAACTCAGCTACAGCCAGAGCATGTTGGTTTAGAAGCAACAGCAAGACACTCGAAACTTTAAGAGATGTTATCCTGGCCATTTTTAAAAGCTGGTCTAAGAAACTAATTGTTACTTTTTTTTTTATGTTGACTTATTACTTATTTTGGTTTTGTCTCTTAAGTTCTAAGCTACCAAATTGAGAACGTCAATAAGAATGAAATGGAATTTCTGCTTCAGAAGAGGTTGCTCTTATTACTCATGTAAAGCCATAATCCTCTATTTGTAAAATCAAAACTGACTGCTGTGAAACTGATGCACTGATAAACAGAAAACAACTGCGATCAGGAAAGAAGTAGCACGGATAGGCAATGTGAAAGCTCATTCTTGTTGCAACCTACTCCCACAAAAATAAGAAAGAAACACCCCTACCCCCCCAAAAAAATAAAACAAAAGCCCACCACAAAAAAAAAAAACAACACAAAAAACAATCTCAAACCCAGCACCAAAATATGAAAAACATGCAAGTGTTTTTTAAAATTCCTATAGCGAGGTGATGAACATTTCCAAATCTTCAGGACTAGGATAATCTTCTCTGACAGTCTTTTCAACACAAAGCTTTAATAAAATCAGCAACAACCACAGTCTAGTACCTTGACTTTCACAAGCCTTTTCACCGTCTTAATCTTTGCCTCGCAGAAGGCACCACGGTACTTGGCACTGACATCAGTTCCCACTGTCAGGTAGGCAGGCTCGTCTGCTGCCTATTAAGAAGAAAATAAGAACAAGTTTAGTTCTTTTTTTTCTTTTCAGCTGCATCATTATATATTTAATTTTACATCTAAGCTTTCAGATCTATTGACTGTTACATGAGTAACAATGTCTGCACTAGGAACTGCAATCACACTGCTCTTTAAAAGGAAAAAAAAAAGAAAATGAAACCAACAAACAAGTTACAGGAAGTTTTGTTTTACCAGTGATGATGACACTTCCCACAATTTTGCCAGCCTAATTACTCTCCCAGAAATATCTTTGAGGGTATTAAACTGATATTTCAAACATCTCCGTTTAAAAAGGGTAATAATGTACAGGAACGTCTACCAAGGCAAGTCATTCCTACACAGTATATAAAAGGAGAGCATTTCAGTTGTAAAAAGGCTGTACTTTTCTCAGCTAACAGCAATCCAATGACAGAGATTACTGAAAACATTCGAGACTGCTATCATCCCGCTAGTTAAGTCTACAACATTCTACATATAGGATTCTTTATTCCTGACAACTAACAGGAGACTCTAGAGAAATTTGTTGTAATCTTTCAAACAGCTGTTAACTAGTGTTTCTGATTTCTAAAATGCCTTATAAAAGCTTAACTGCTTATGCATTTTAAGAGAGAGAAGTATTTCTCATCATATTTTCCTTAGTCTGGACTTTCATTACTCAACATTTCACTTTATTGTGCTTGTAGCAATTCATAAACAAGGGTAAAACGACCACGTTGAAAATGTCTATCAAGGCATCAAGGAAATCATAGCATATAAAATAACTACTTTTCTGTTCTTACTTAGTGTTTTAACTACTTTTTTTAATTACTTTTATTTCTTCGACTCTGAAGGCAAAAAAAAAGTTTTCTCTTTCCTAAGTTGCACCGCAATTGTTAAGCCTCTACCGAAAAAGAAACGGGAACAGCTAAGGCAGGACAAAAGCTGTGGTACTGCAAACTTACAAACAGAGGCTGCTGATACAGGAAGCATTTAGACAGCAGCCCAAAGGACAACAATTCAAAGACGTTGTGAATTTTCAGACTACTCCTGCAAGATGGTAAGAGCTTCGCTCACCCACACCTCAGCTAAAGAGCAGAAACAGGATACACAGCATGCACCGAAACCCCAGACAGCGTTATCCTACTGTTGCTCATCGAAACCGGCGATTAAAAATGAAATTGCCAGAGCAGCTTGTGAAGAGAGAAAGGGAGCCGTTCCCTACTCCGGAGTTAGCCTACCTTCATCTTTAAAGGTTATGTGAGGGATTCCAGCTCAAAGGCTTCTCCTCCCCGCGAGCACACGGGAAAACACTGCAAAACAAGAAGGGGGGGGGGGGGAGGGAGCGCCTGAGGGCTCACCCGTGAGAGCGTGGGTCTCTCTCTCTGTGAGGAAAGGCCGGGCTGACAGGGGAGACAAACGCCGGCGGGCGGGAACCGCCGACCGTCCGTCCGTCCTAGCCCCACCAGGCCGCCGAGGGAACGGGGCCGCAGCCGTCGCCCGCCGCTTCCCGCCCGGCGGCCCCTCGGTGTGTCACGTCGCCATTGCTCCCGCTCCGCGCCTCAGCGCGGAGGAACCGGGGAGCGCGTTCGGCCCGGGAGAGGAAACCGCCACCCCGCACAGGCAGCTCGCCGCCGTGGGGGCCCGCCGCCGTCTTCCCCGCCCCTCGCAACTTTCTGCGGCCCGCGGAGGGAAGCGCCACGGAGCCCCTCCTCCCTGCCCCCTCCCCGCCGGCTGGCCGCACTTCTGGCTCGCGCCCCCCGCACACCCGCAGCGGCCAGCCGCGCTACCAGCCGCCGGGACTCCGCGACCCCCGGCCAGGGGTGGGAGCGGGGGGGAGGTGTGCAGCGGGGGCGGGCCGGCGCCGTGCGGCTGAGTGGTTGCGGATGGAGGGCGGGCGGGCGGTCCTCGCCGCCAAGAGCCGGGGTAGCTCCAAGAACGGTGGCGGGGAGGCAGCCGGAGAGCTCGGAGGGGGCACGGGGGGGAGCTCCGTAGGGAAAGGAGTCCCCGTCAGAAAGGGAGCGACGGGCTTCCGAGCTCCCTCACACAGTGCAAAGGCGCGCTAGTGGTGGTGGTGGCGGGGGGGGGAAGGATAAGGGGGAGAGCTCCCAGGGCCGCTCCGCGCCCCCTCCCCCGGGACAGCGACAGAGTTGCGGCTGCTAAAGTGCCCGCCACCCTCACTGCTTCCTACCTAGAAACTCGGAGCGAAGTGGACAGACCCGCACTGCCCGGCCTGGTCCCAGCGCCGCGGCCCCCTCCGAGACGACGACAGCCCCGTAAGCAGCAGCAGCGGCGGCGGCGGCGGCGGCTGAGCGCGGCCCCGCTCCACCCCCCAGCCCGGGCTCGCACCGAATCACCAGCGACCAGCCCAATAACAAGCTGTTGAGCAGAATCGGTCCTGCCTGAGCTCCCATTGGTCCCCTCGTGACGCCCTGGAGGCTCTGCCCCGCCTGGATTGGGCATTACGGACAGCACCCCCATTGGTCACAGGGCGGCTGGCGGAGGGCATTGGCCAGCCGTCGAAGCAGGTAGGGCCACAGAGACTTTTGATTGGCGATCCTTCGGAGCGCTAGCTGATTGGTGGAAGTTGAAGTGAAGTCAGCGTCCCTCCACAGATGATTGGTACGTGCTGGATCCGGATGTAGCTCTGTGCGCGGTGACTGGCAGCGACCGGGTGACAGGAAGAGCAAGGGCGCGATGTGATTGGTACTGGCCTTCTTTTAGAGACGCGGTGGGGCGGGGACAAGAGAGGGGGGATGGACGCGGTGTTCTGCGGAGGCTGCCCGCGGCAGACAGAGCGCATGCGCCGCGGTCAGTCTCCCGGCGCCATTTTGTGCCGGGCTCTTTCCCATTTTAGGCCGCGGGGGGAAGAGAACAGGAGTAGTCGGCGTTGCTCCGGGGGGCGGGTGAGCTGCGGACAGAGGCGATGGGCTCGGCGGGAAACCCGCTCCCGCGCTCCGGAGAGGCTGCGGCTTGTTTCTTCCTAGCTGCCCGCTCCCGTGTTGGACTGCAGCGGCCGCGGCCGTCTCCACCCCGTCGTCCTGCTCGGCAGTGATGGCGCAGGAGCGGACTCGGAAGTGAAGCGGTTGCGGCGCCTCTGGCGGCGGAAGTGGCCGCTGGGAGGGCGCGGAGGAGCCGGCCTGCCGAGCTGCATGGTGAGGCACGGAACCGCTAGCTGCCGTCCGTTCTCCGTTCTCCCCGCTGAAGCCAAGCGGTGGTGCCAGTGGGGGCCCGTCCGCCGCGGTAGCTGCCGCGCGCCCCAGCAGAAGCAGCGTCGGGGCTGCAGACGCCGGTCCCTCAGCCGGTGCGGACGGGACACGGGTGCCTGCTTTTCCCTCGGAGGCGGGCGTCATTCCGTCGCTGTTAACCGCCTCCTGCTGCCCGTGATGCATTTGCGGTGAAGCCCGAAGAGGGGGGTCAGCTGTCGTGCCTGGTTGCTTCTGCACATGGTGCTGGTGGTTGTAGTGACCGCCTGGCCTGCTGCTAGGCGCCTGAAGTCGTCTCGTTACAGGAAGATGCGGTAAGAGAAGGAAAAGACGAGTGCTGGTGGGGCTAACATGCTTTTCGGGGTGCTTGGAGGGGACTGTAGTCTTGTCCAGTCTTTCCTTAGCGGTGAGGATGCTCTCTGAAGGCACAGTCTTACAAAGCAGGATACTGCAAGGCACCTGTGAAATGTCCTCTAAGAGGATTTGGACTTGGAGGCAAGCTTTGATACTACTAAATACGAGCTACTAAGTGAAGCCTATATTTAAATATATTTTTAACGTTAGTGCCACATTTTTACTTACATAAAATTTGCTTCGTAGTTAACAGTGATTTAGATCCATTCTTTCTCCACAAAGTAATGAGTATCTGTTTGACAGTGTTCACACTTAGCTACAAGGCATACCTTAGGTTTGTTTAAATCAGCTTGTGAATCTAGTTCAGAGATCCTTTGTGGTAATTTGACAGCGATGGATTGTTAGTTTAGGTGTAGTTTCCATGTAAGTTCTGGCTTGAAGGTATATTTTTGTTTTGTATTTTGTAAATCTGATTCTTTGGAAAGCAACAAGAAAAAACGCACCTCTTGAAGGAGTTCAGTCAGCAGTGGTGTATGGTATAGTAAGCTCTAACGGTTTAGTAAGGCATAATGTAAGCAAAGTAGTTTAGAGTTGACTGCAGGAGATGCCTAATATGGGGAAAGGGTAGCTCCAGGCTTCTGGTGTTTGGATGTGGGTTATAAATATAAAAATACTCAATGTCGTATATGAAGTGTATAAAGGTTTGAGGCATTTAGCTGAGGAAACTTTGGTTCTGTGCTGTAGTTACACTTTATGCAGTACATAAACTGATGAGCAAATTAATGTTAGAACATACTAAATCTACGCCAAATGTTAACAAAGCTTCAGGAATTCACTTTGTGCGCTTTGTGTCTCCCTGTGGAACGTATTGACCAAACCATGACTTTGAGCTTTAAGGCACAATTTGTATCTCTGTACTAAGTATAGTACCATTCAATAAATAACAGTTTGTGACAAAACTCATCAGTCTTGTTTCTCATTTCTAGCAGAACAGTCCTGTCCACCTGGATGTGTCTGTTGCAGCTGGCATGCTTAGGAGGTTTGTGGCACATCATTCATTTAGTAACTGAGCAAAAGGACTCTTTCTATATACTTGGTCAGCAGATGTGACTTTTTTATGGTTTTTAAAGCACCTAAGAATGCCTAGCTAGGTAGCTCAACAAAGAGCACAAACATTCTCACACAACTTGGGGATGATGTCTAATATAATGGAATGAAAACACCGTGCTTTTGGCAAGCAGGGTAAGGGTCTAATTTTGTTTTAACGTAACTTCTCATGAGAATATGAACTTCAGGAATAAGTTATGCCATGATACTGAGATTTTGCATCCTGAATGTATGTCAGCATTAACTAGCCCTGACACTGCTTTGGCTATACTAGATCTCTGCAGCTGTGCCCCATCCCTCAGTGTGATGCCTTATAGGGAAAACGATTGGAACAAGTGGAAGAAATGAGCAGCAGGCTTTTCTGTTGTGAGCCACTCGGTTAACTTCATAAAGTTAACGTTTTGTAAGCTCTAGAATGATACAGTCATAGTCCCTTTTCTATCTGATGTCTCTAAACAGACATGCTATATGAGGTAGAAGAATTTTTAGCATCACTGTTGAAAGTAGCAGCACTTGTATTATGTTTAAGTACCATTATGTGTTACGTACCAACTGTTGTGTAGATGCAGTACATGAGATTCACCTCGGGATATGCATCTTGGTCTTAGCTTGTGCAAATTAGCACAATGCTTCTTAATTTAAAAACAGTTAACACAGAAGCATCAAGGCACTCTAAGCATGGCACTGGTCTTTCATCTCGTGTAATTTGAGAGCTTAGGTGATGGCTGTAAAGAAATCAGGAAAAAAATATACCTTACAATGTCCTTGCTGTATTAGTTGCAGAATACACAGGATTTTTGCCCAAAGTCTTCCATATATGTGGCACTTGGTAGGAAAAGGAAAGTATAGGAATGTCTGTATCTTAACAGTATTCTTCATAAGAATAGCACCCAAATAAAACTGTTCAGTGTGTCATGTGGCTTCCTTGAGAAAAGAGACAAAATAATGAGAAGAGAGATTTCTAGGCTAAGTACAATATTCTGTTCAGTAGTCACATATTGCTCTTGAAATACTGCATTTACACCTAAAATCACAGCCAAAATATTGCAGAAATACTAAAAATACTGATTCTTGTTCTAACACTTTGTATGTAAGAAAATAACTATGCCTCTGACAGACTTTGCAAATGTTTAGGAGACTTTTTGCTGCTTTTATTTTCATCTCAAATGTTTGATTGTTTTGTTTTGTTTTGTTTTTTTCTTTTAAATGTTCTTCCCCTTGGTATTTCTCTTCTGTAAGTAAACAGGCAACATTTTTCCAGTGGTGGTTGAGCAAACATCTGCTTTGTGGTGGAACTGCTACATTTCTGTACAAATCAAGGTCAGATGTATGCTTCCCACAAAGCTTTATTATCCAAGTGATTGCAAACTGCTCCAGTAAGAGTATAGTAAGAAGTTGTGAAGTACTTAGTGAGCATGTATAAAGCAAAAAAAAAAGTCCCTATAGAAGTGAACACAAGTTTGGTCAGTAATAGCTGGCTTGTAAAAAGGAAAAGTCAAACCTTCTTTCCTAGCCCTGGAGAAAATTGTGGTTTACTGTTAACTATCAGCAATAAGTACCTCTATTATATTGTGTGAGAGAGAACAAAGAAAAAAAGGAAACATAAAAAAAGTACCTGCTAATGCTAAATGCTCACATACCATTTTCCCAGCTCTGGCACATTCCTGTCCCCGCGTTCAGAAAAACAGATATTTAGTTATTCAGGCATAACTGCGCATGCTGTCATTCATATCTGAGACAAAGACACAAAGTTTAGCAATCCTTATGAAGACTGAATTAGTACATTATGTCCAGTAAAGATCAGTACTAGTTTCTTAAATCTGGCATGGGCATGTTTTCCAGCAGTATTTCTTCTAGCTACGAATAGCCATGAAAATATTTGACAGGGTTTGCTGCCATAAATATTTGGGGGGGGGGGGGGGGGGGAATCTCAGAATTGGTTTTCCTGTCAGCTCTGCAGCTAACAATAGTACTCACTTTGTAGTTGCTTTTTCCAGTAACACTATGTTACGTGCTCAGCTTGTCAGAGTAGCTCATTAGCAGCTTCAGAGATGTCCATGGAGAAGCAGTCCCATTTTTACTGAATAAACTTATGTCCAGACTTTGTTGTGCTTTGTGGCTGCAGATTGTAACTACAATCCCACACATTATAAAACGTATGTAGGAATCAGTGATGCATTAACTGGTGTGTGTTATTTGGAGCCTAGCACCAGGAGAAAAGCTTAGAATTCTCAACTGATGTAATTGGTGCTTCCATCCTAGCCTGTTAGCTGGTGTGTGTGTGCCTTTGCATGTGTCCTGCAATCTCTTAATTCTAAACATAAAGTTCTCCCTTTTTTTTTTTAAGACTTATTTGGTAATTCTATGTTTGGACAGAATAAGAGCTGTGTTGTAAGAGACCATTACATGGTATGTAATTTTCTATTGTGATAATACACAAATGTAAGTTTAAAACATTTAAACATACATATGAATCTCCAAATAGCCCGTGTTCTTCCCAACAGAGTCAAATCTTGTTTATAAATACTACTGTTTCAGTAACCTCCCATCTAAATCAAATATACAATGTAAAACTTGATGCAAACCCATGTGTTTTTTCTGTTATCTAGTGTGGAGCAAGAGTGTGGTCACTTTCTCAGCCTCCTGTAATACCAAACTGGGAGTAAATCTGTACTGAAGAGGTGTCTAATGCTCTCCATATCTAAGATGTACTACAGCTACAGCCGACGTTGGAGAGCTGAAATAGGCTGTTGTTACACTTTGGTAAAGAGAACTAACTCTGGTTGGATTAATTTCTCAGTACCTGTGTAAGTAGATCCAGGGTCATGGCCTAGCTGAAGTAAGAAACTTCCTTGCTTATGCCACCAGTTACTACTTTGTATCTTGGAAGGCTTCCCCCACTCCAGATAAGACTTTGTGCTGCCGAAGTAGCCATGTTAAGTATAAAAAGGAAATTAAAAAAAAGCCAATGTGTGTGCCACTAATAGTACACAGCCTAGCACAAAGCAGCAGGCACTACTGCAGGTCATGGTTGCTCAGTAAAAGAAAAGTTGTGAAGGCGGTGGTTATGCAGCCTTTCTTCTAGTGCTTTTGCTTGTCCAAATTTCTTTAATTAGTTAGGGTTAGCTTACTTTTCAGCTAACAAGAATGCAGTTGGTCAGGATTGATTTTTTTTTTTTTTTTTAAGTATTCAAAATATAGATGCCCTCTATGTTTTGAATTATGTGTTTCTGGCTGTAAGTAGCTGCTGATAATGTGAATCTACAGTTTGGCCAGTGATTAAATTTTTAGCTGCCTTTTTCAAAAGATACTTTGTGTATATTGTTTGGAGCATATTATTACAGGTAGCTAATTCACAGGTGGCCAGGGAGTTAGCTGACCAATTGACACTGTGTAAATGCATGTTTAATCTGTGATTAATTATAAGACTCTATTGTTTGCAGGAGGTTTGACTCTTCAGGGATATGCTTTCCCCTGCAGCGCTCCTCTGTCATCTGTCACCCCATTAGTTACACCAGTACAGTTGTAAACAGAACCATTGAAATGAGCTGCGTTGTGTGACATCCAGAATGCTGAAAGAACAAAATACACGTATTTTTTTTAGATCTGTAATTATTCTGGATCAATAAAAGATATTTTATTAGGGTGGGAGCAGTCTCGCCCTTGCAAGCAGCACAGCAGGGAACTAGTGGAAATGAAGAAACAAGCATTTGGCTGGGGGATGCAGTTGTCTACTTGTTAAACTGACTGACAGGAAGAATGTTAAGCTACATTTTGATTCTGCCCTTCTAAAACAGTATTTCAGATTTGTTTCTGTTCCTGATATATGAAGAAAAATGTCTGGGAAAAGCAGCCTCTCTGGTGGTGTGCTCTGTGGACTGTGGAAACACCTAGAATTAGAGCTGAAATTGAGCTTTATGTAAGCATTCTGTTAAAGTCATCTAGCACTTCCTTTGCTGCTCTTCACACCTGTTTATATAGTCTACTGAAACAGGTCTCTGTCCTTCCCCAAAATAATGAAATTAGCAGATTTCTTGCTTTTCTCAAAGCCCTGAAAATTAGAAATTTCATTTCCAAAAAACTTAGGTATCACTTGCATTGGGTTACTGGTTTTTGTGTGTTTGTATTGGAATGTATCAGCATCTGGGTGAATTTACTGTAACTGAACCCACTGTTAATTTGCTGAAATGGGAATCTTAACAAATGTGTTTTGGATATGCAGACAATGCATATATTAGATATCTAACTTTGTGCAGCAGTAAGGCATCCCTTGTTCTTTCAAAACTCTTACTTTGCTTCTCATACCACATCACTTAAAATGGTATTTTCAGTGGGTAGTTTTATACAGTCTTTAGGGGACACTTCAGGGGATTGCTTTTTTCCTGAATATGATTATACTCACGTGTTTAAACTGATGCTGCTGCCTGCTTTATTCTGTTGTCTATCTTTGGTCGGTACAGCAACTCACAAGAACTGTTTTTAAACAACCATTGCAGAGTCCTTTAATAGCAACATACTGAAGATGAAAGGGCACAGCATGGTGGCTGCTTAGTCCATATGGAAATAGGAGCGTTGGTTTGAGCTTGGATCCCATGTTCTCAAATACTAGGATGTATTTACTGGACAACCAGTCCGGCTACATATACTCTTACCTCTTCAACCTCCTGTTTTCTGTAAATCTGTATAATTAGACACCTATTAAGGTAGCAAGACCTGTGATGGAAAGTTAACAAACAGTTGGTGTCTCAGAATAGCTCTCAATTCTTAAGTAAAAGTAACTTCCTTACTGCGTGCAACTTGAAAGGGTGGAGAAAAAGCTAGTACTTTTCATACAGGCATAAGCAACTGAAGGAAGAAAATGAGGGGGAGAGAACAGTCTCTGTATTGTATGTTTGGTGCTGTTATAGTCTCAAAATTGTCATGACAACCAATATTATTTTCCTTTTTAGAATCTTGAAACTGCACTTTAAGGTCATGATTATTTTCCAGCTGATAAACGCTTAAGATGCGTTGCAGAATTCACTATTTTGTGCTCCCTTCTATGGTTATGGCTTTATCTGAAGGAAGCGACTTGCAAAACAGCATAATGTGGTTATTCTGAGTCTCCTCCTTTAACAGTGACTCACTCTGTCTATCCAGATAGCATCCCGAGCAGCACTGCACCCATATGGACAGTCATACTTTCAGCATGTGGGACTTTTAACCTCAAGCTATTTTTGGTGATGAGAAGGAAGTAACAAATGACCCGACGCTTGGCATACTTCAGATCTGCCCGAGACAAATTCTGTTTGAAATGTTTCCCTTCTTAGAGTCATCACCAGATAGGGATTAGTAGTATTTCTTTTGGAGATACTCTTATGCATATCTGCCACACAGGAAATCTTACGTATGGGTTACTTCTGTGATCTTCTAATGGCTCAATCTCACCATAACTTCATCAGAGGTACTAGTCACTTGTAATGCAGGTATTATCCAAACCAGTAATTTTTATGGCCATGTAAAAGTAGTAAAACCAGGGACAAATTAACCTAAACTCAAGTTTTGGACTATGCAAGTCCAGTTCCATATTCTAGAATCTGTCCTGGTGCAACCACAGAGATACGTGTAAGTAATTAAATACCAGAACCTGTATTTTTTAATCTATCACCTGCAGTTCACCAGTCACCTTCTTAGTTCTCTTGAACAAAGTTTCTGTATGTGGACTTGCTGACTAAATAATTGTAACATGAATGTGACATATCCAGTTGCATTAAATATCAGAGTAGTGATTCACCAGGTGCTGAGTAACAGTCAGTGGATGTGTAAGACTTAGGTGGAGATGAAGCATCTTAGTACAGCCTACTCTTGTGTCATTGTTGGATCTGTATTTCTAAAATAATTCTTGGTGGGGGGTGACTTTAAGAGATGAGTTGGTCTGTACAGTCTTAATTTCTGGTGTTCTGTTAAAGCATGTGCTCTGGGTTTTAAGCAGCAGAATATACCATTTAAGCTCAGAGTTTTAAGTGTTTCAGCATAGCAAGAATTACAGTTATGAATTCCAAGTGGGTGTTTGACTTTCTGCTCTATTATGGATTTCCATAAATGGCCAGAGTCTGGACTAAGATTTCTTGCTTGAGGCTTCCTTCACAAGTAGTGGTGTTTGGTATTGGCTAATTATGCATTTTTTTAATATCTTTAGAAGGGAAACTTACCAGTGCTTTGGGCAGAAACAATCAAAATGAGACTGTTAAGAATTGCCTCTTGCTCAATTCTCCAATTCAGAAACTTTTACCCTGCCCATTTGTTAGCCTTGCAGTACATTTTCACGTATCAGTGTTACACTGAAGTTAGAACTCACCATTTTCAAGCCAATTATAAAAGGTAATTTTAATTTCAGGGAAGGGGATCCAAGTCCTACTTCTGTAGGAAAGCATGCTGCCACTGCTGTAGAAGGCTAGTTCTGGAAGCCTTCAGAGGTCACTGTCACAGACTGCTGCTGTTACGTCTGTAACAATGTGCTTGCATGTGTTGCAAGCAGCTCTGAATTGAGATGGCCAACTGAGCTGCCCTTATCCCTTGGCATAAGACTCGGTGCTCTTAAAGTGAGCTTACTCCAAAGTAGTGGGATTTAAGTTAGGCACATGTGATATCCCAACAGATGATATCCACAAGGAACAGCTCTTTTAGAGCTTCAATTCTACGGGCTCAGACCATACATACTTTCTGCAGACATAGCCCTGAACTGAAGCTACAAGAGACTGAATGCAGGAAGCTATCAAATCTTTGTCTCAGCTACCTGATCAGTTGTTGTTCTCTGGGCTTAAATCAAACTCTTCACCCAGGTATCACTTAAGCCTGAAGCATAAGGGAGCATCTACAATACAGCTCAGTTCTGCAAGACGTCTAGTCCTCTGATCCATCTTGAGCCCTTCTGGATCTT